CACTCCCACAAGTTCTGTGCCACCATTACCCCAACACATCTCCCCTCCCCCCCTCCCCAGGTTTGTTTCTCCGTAGCCTGTAGAGTACCTTTTCATGCCAAAGAGACTAGAATGTAGTGGTGAAGGCACCATGCAGGAACCAGCTTGACCTCTCCATTCAATAAGCTGAGTGGAAGTCCTTGGCAATGCCCTTTGCCCCCTCAGTTTTCAGAGAGTAACCTCTGGCCTTGTATCAGTTTGGGTTTTTGTTTTTTGGTTTTTGGTTTTTTCTTTCCAGACAGCGTTACTGTCTGTAGCTTTGGAGCCTGTCCTCACTCTATAGGCCAGGCTGGCCTCTCCCTCCCAAGTGCTGGGATTAAAGGTGTGCACCACCACTGCCTGGCTCAGTCTGGGTTGTTTAGGGATCTCCAGAGGCTTCCTAGGCCAGCAATTTGACCAAATGTTACCCAACTCTCACCACTGGAAGCCTTACCTGGCTTCAAAAAATGGCCAGTTCAGACTGAGTATCCTCCATTACTAGGAGTCCTCACTAGGGTCATCCTCATGGATTCTAGTAATTTCCCACTGCACTAGGTCCCCCTCCCCCCCCCTCCCCAAGTGCCCCCTAATTCCAGCTGTCTCTTCCCACACTCCCTCCACCCCATCCCCACCTGATCCCTCTTGTTCCCTACTCACTTCCAGTCTACCTGCAGAATCTAGTCTATTTCCCCTTCCCAGGGAGATCCATTGAAAACACATTTTTAAAATCCATACACCACCAGGCTGTGGTGGCCTGCGCCTTTCATCCCAGCACTCAGGAGGCAGAGGTAGGTGGATCTCACACAGCCAAGGATGTTACACAGTGAAATTCTGTCTCAGAAAACCAAAACCAAACCAAACAAAAATACCTATACCCCTCTTGTCCCTTTTGCTGGTTCCAGGGATCAACTCCTAAATACAGTCTTAGTACTCAGATCCATATCTCCGAATTGTTTCTGGGAAAACCCAAATGCTGGAGAGATGATTTAAGAAGGCTTAGTAAAGGAAAACAAAAGGACTTGAAAACTAGTTATCCAGTTTGGCATTCAAGACAGCATCACAGTGCTACAAGACATTACAGTAACACATAACCTAACCATGTATTTTACCTCCTTCAACTTGACAGGCACCTTTTGGAGCTTAAGTAGGCTTGGTGGCCAGACTGCCTTATAATCCATTCTGTAGAGAATATGTTCCCCAAGCACAGAAGAGCTTTTCAACATCTCTGATTAAATATGTAAATTGAACATAGCCATGGTTTCTGCCCCTAACCTCCCAAGAAACCTAAAGCTAATTCCACTCCAATAAAGCTAGAGCCCAGCAATGAAGAAGTGACATGTAGGGATAACAAGACACTGTTACTAGTCAGTTTCATTTTTAGAAATCTCTTGGATACACTTGTGTGAAATATATGATATTCATTACTGCATTGACCTGTTGAGATGGGAAGCAACCTAAATGTCACTCCGGCCATGGCAGAATCTTCTGAAGCAATGAGGAAGAGTAAGTCATTCATTAGTATAGGTAGAATGTTAATGTATGTTTTTAAAGGAGTTTGAGTTATGCTACTTTTTATTTTTTTCCTCCCTTCAGTGTTGAGGATTGAACCCAGGGCTTCCTGCAGGCTAGGCAAATACTTTACCACTAAGTCACATCCTCTCCCAGTTTTACATTTTTAATTGGCTGCATATGTGCTTTTCTGTATCACATGTGTTCTTCCAGGCATAGGACACTCCAGTAGCGCGACACTCCAGTAGCGCAACACTCCCGATTCCAGCAGAGTGGCGTGACATGACAGGCTTGTTGTCTTTAGAAAGTATGAACTCCGCATCATGGGCTCAACTTTCCCTGTCCTCCTGGGACTTGGCTTGCACGGAACATTGCTGTTTGCTACTGTTTCTCTGGGTTCAGGAAAAGATTGAAGTTGAATCTATCAGTCAAGGGCTAGGTATGTACCTCAGTGGTAGAGTTCTTGCCTAGCAAGTGCAAGGCCCTGGTTTCAGTCTCCAGTACCTTGAGAATGTCAACGCTGCCAAACAGACGAAGACATTGGACAATGAAAGGCAAGGGTACATGGAGGAGGAGGACCTATCACTAGGGGTGGTGGAGGTACTTGGACATGACACCTAGAATACCTGTTATCTTGCTGGGTTCCATGATGATCATGAGCTCTCCAAGAGATGCTGAATATAGAGAAGAAAAATGTGGAACTTAATGACAGGTGTCCAGGAGCTAAGTGAAAAGCAACCGCAGGGTAAAGAGTTGTACAAGGAATATGTAATCACACTGTATTAGTTGACAGCTCAGAAAAGTATTGAAAGAATTATGTTGCCTAACTGCATAACGATTATATTGAGAGTGGGCACATGGGTGTACTAAGAAAATGTTCATATGCTGTCTTAGTCACTGCTTTATTGAGATGAACAGACACCACGACCAAGGCAACTCTTATCAAGGAAAGCATTTAACTGGGTGCTTGCTTAGGTTCAGAGGCTTAGTTTATTATCATGGCAGGGAGCATGGTGGCATGTAGGCAGGCATGATGCTGAGAAGTAGTCGAGAGCTTTATTTCCTGATCCTCAGGCAGCAGGCAGAGAGAGAGAGGAGAGGAGGGGAGGGGAGGAGGAGAGGAGACAGAGACAGAGATGAGAGAGATTGGCTGTGGGCCTTTGAAACAGGAAAGCCCACCCACTCAATGCTTGCTCAATACTTAACTAAAGATGCCACTGAACTCCTGATCTTTCGCTCCTACTTCTCAAGTGCTGAGATGAGAGGCATATGTTGCTATTCCTGGTAAGCATGTAGTGTGATGAGAACCCAGGGTATGTTTTTTCTCAGTGAGGAATTGGTAATGAAGTAATTGTTCTAAATCAGCTTCAAGTAGCTATCAGAAAATACTGTTCATGGTTTAATGGTAGACACTGGAGGCAATCACTTTGGTTTTTGTGTAAAGGCTAAAACCAATATTCCCACCGACATTATTCAACAATGGCACGCAGGCCATTGCATCTAATTGCAACTGCATGCTACAGAGTGTGTGAAAGAATTTTATGTAGTTCAAGTTGACCTCAGCCTCCTTGGGGGCCACTTGTCGGGGCCTGCCGACAGTCAGCTGGGTAGCTGGGTAGAGGCATGCGGGTTGAAGAGACAATGAAGAAAACAGAAAAGAGTCAAGAGGACTGCTGGTCAATGCCAGACAGCCCCGAGTTTATTTCACAGCCAGTTTATATATAGTCTGGAAGGACAGAGGTAGAACAATGCACAGCACAGGCATTCAACCACTGTCTATCCTGTCCTTGAGTCAAGGAGCAGGCAGTTTCATTTTCTATCTCAATGTACCTCCAGCTGGCATCAGCAGCCTGCATCCAGCTAAATAGTGTGTTCCTTCTTGTGGGCTAATCAGAACTTTCTCACAGCCTTGGCGCAAACAAGCTTGAACTCTATTGACTCAAAATAGACTTCAGATTCAAACTGGGAAACTGAATCAGTTGTGGGCTCCCACACCTCAGACTCAGTCAGTAACTGAGGATGACTTTGAACTCTGGTCTTCCTGCCTCTACCTTCCAAGTCCTCTGAAAGAGCACTCCTCACTGCTGAGTCATCTCTATCCCTTGTAGTATTTGCCTTTAAACCTGGGATTACAGGTGTGTGCCACCAGGTCTAGCTGCTTTTTGCTTTCCACTTTTAAAAACATTTTTTTTGTGTGTATGTATATGATGTGTGTATGTTCATGTGCGAGAGTATGGGTGTGTGAGTGCTGCAGGGTGCATGTGGAGGTCAGAGGTCAGCCTTGGGTGTCAGGCCTCACCTTCTACCTTATTTGAGACAGGGTCTCTTGTTCACAGCCATGAACGCCAGGCTAGCTCATCCACAGTCTTCAGGGATTCTCCTGTCTCTGCCTCTCATAGTGCCAGAGGAGTGTGGCACTCTACCGTGGTCAGCTTTAAGTGGGTTCTGGGGATTCAAACTCTGGTCCTTATACTTGTGTGGCAAGCTCTTTATCCACACTAAACCATTTCTCCAGCTGCCCTCTCTGCCACCCCTCGACTTTTTTTTCTATATAACTCTGGCTGGCCTGTTACTCAATATGTAGACCAGACAGACTGTCTTCAAACTACAGAGCTCTGCTTCCTGAGTGTTGTTATTAAATGTTTGCTCTACCACACCTGGGCTGCCTGCCTGCCTTCCTTCCTTCCTTCCTTCCTTCCTTCCTTTTTCTTTTTTCTTCTCTCTCTTCCCCTTTTATTCTTTCTTTCTTTTCCTTTTCTTTCTTTTGAGAATAGGGTCTCTCTTTTAGTTTTTCAAGACAGGGTTTCTCTGTGCAGCCCTGGCTGTCCTGGAACTCACTCTGTAGAGCAGGCTGGTCCAGAACCCAGAAGAATAGGTCTCACCGTGTTACCCAGGCTAGTTGTGAAACCAACCCTTCTGCCTCTACCTGCCAAGTAGCTGAACTGGGATTAAAATCCTGGATGATTTAACATCTTTATTTCCTAATGGGAGCAATTACACTTGTGTGAGTTCAAGGAGCCCCGTATCTCTAAGTTCATAGTAAGCAGTGGAACTGTTCAGAGGTTTTATGATTACAGGGGACAGACTGTACGGATGTCTACATAGATTGTGTGTGTGTGTGTGTGTGTACATGTTTGTATGTGTGTGGTGCGTGTATATAGGTCTGAAGTGAACCTAGTGTGTCTTCCCCCATCACTGCCCACCATCTATACTGAGGCTTCATCACTGCTGGGACCACATGGGGGTGCCAACACCCACATAGCTTTTAGGTGTATTCTGGGGATCTAGACTTGTCCTCAGACATGTACAGCAAGTACCTTCCCGGCTGATCTGTCTCCTCAGCCTGTGCAGAGAACTTTTTAACTGCAAAAGGCAAGAGTGTAGAACAACACACGGCTTTCAGACTTTATTTCAGGTTTCCAGGGTAATGCAATGGCACAGAGAGCTGGATCATGGAACTGAACTGAAAAAAATTAATTTCTGTGAAAACCTACTAGGAAATATAAGACCTCGGCAAAATTTTCAGACCACCCAGTCCAGTTCTCCATAGCCAGTATCTGCAGGTGGTATTTTAGAGAGCTGTAAGATCTCAACTCCTTCATGACGGCTAAGTTGTTACAGGTCATGGCGGAGAGGGCATAGCATATCCAGAACTGAACAAGACGGTGGCTGTTGACTTCACTCTTGATGGTGGAGTGGAAGGGAGTCTCAAAGAAAGCAATGAAGATGGGAATGAACTGCAGTTGTTTGGCTCGCTTTTGGCTGGCCGGGTTTAAGTAGCACCAACACGCCACACTCTGGAGCAGGAGGATCTTTGTCTTCGACGACATCACCTTCTCACTCTGCAGCAAGAGAGCCACTTCTTGCATGTACTCGCTGGCGAACTGTGCCGCACTCAGGCCTCCTGTAAGACAAGCATTTTCACTTCCGGAAGTATGTAGTGAATGTAGCTGGTAAGACTTCAGAGGCCCCTGTGCATTCTTATTCTTACACACACACACACACACACACACACACACACACACACACACACACACACACACACACGGGGATGCCTGTGCATATATGTATGTGCATGCTTGAGGAGGTTAGGAGACAGCCTCAGACATCATCCATTTTTTTTGTTTGTTTGTTTTTTGAGACAGGGTTTCTCTGTGTAGTTTTGGTGCCTATCCTGGATCTCACTCTGTAGACCAGGCTGGCCTCAAACTCACAGAGATCTGCCTGGTTCTGCCTCCCGAGTGCTGGGATTAAAGGTGTGAGCCACCACCGCCTGGCTATCATCCACTTTTGAATTATTATTATTTTGGTTTTCCAAGACAGGGTTTCTCTGTGTAGCCCTGGCTGTCCTAGAACTCACTTTGTAGATCAGGCTGACTTCCAACTCAGGGATCCACCTGCCTCTGCCTCCTTGGTGGGATTAAAGGTGTGTGCCACCACACTGGGCTATATACCTTTAACATTTTTGTGATCAGGTCTCTCTCTGGCCTAGAACTCTACAAATAGACTAGCCTGACTGACTGGCAACCCATCTGTCTCCACCTCTCCAGTCTGAAGATTCCATCCAGCTTTTTATGTGGGTTCTAGGGCTCAAGTACATGGCCTCATGTTTACAAAGTAAGCGTTTTACTGAGTGAGCTATCTCCTCAGCCTCCACTCCCTCTGTCACTTTGTTTTGGTCCTGGGGATTGAATTCAGGGCCTCGTTACACCCCAGACCCAGGTTCATATTCTGGTAACCACTGGGGACATTTTAGACATGTTAACTTTTCCTTTTCTGTGTCACTGGAAGTTGAGAACCTGATGAGTTGTAGGGGAAGCATGGGAAGGTCACTGCCCGCCGAGGCATGCATGTATCCAAGTGGTGTGATCTGGATGTGTTTGCTTAGATAAGTTCTGTCTTTGCACTGGAGGAAAGTCTGTGGACCCGAGAGAGTCGGAGCACAGAGGAAATGCAAAAGCTGAGCAAGGAAGCCTCGGCTGCCTTGTGCTAGAAAAGTGTTTGAGAGTCATTAATTACTTAGTTGTTATTGTACATTTCTTACTCCCAACTTTCCCAGACCCAAGACCAATGTTGCCATATAAGATTTTTCTTCCTTAGGCCATCAACTCAGCCTAGTCATAGATTGTTTTCTTTTCTTTCTTTCTTCTTCTCCTTTTTTTTTTGAGACAGGGTTTCTTTTTTTTTTTTAGGTTTTTCGAGACAGGGTTTCTCTGTGTAGTTTTGTGCCTTTCCTGGAACTCACTCTGTAGCCCAGGCTGGCCTCGAACTCGCAGAGATCCGCCTGCCTCCGCCTCCCGAGTGCTGGGATTAAAGGCGTGCGCCACCACCGCCCGGCGAGACAGGGTTTCTTAATGTAGCCCTGGATGTCCTGGAATTTACTCTATAGATCAGGCTGCCCTTGAACTCAGAGATTGGCCTGCCTCTGCCTCCCGAGTGCTGGGATTAAAGGCATGTGCTACCATGCCTGGCTTTGTGATGGAATTTTGATGAAGAATATAAGCACCAAATATTTTATTTTTATAGTTTATAAAGTGTATAACACAGAGCCAGGCATGGTGGTACACATCTGTAGTCATGCAGCCAGGTGTGGTAGTACACATCTGTAATCCCACTTTGGGAGGCAAGTCTGTGCAGGTCTGAGGATAGCCTGATTCCAGTGATTGCAGGCCAGCCACAGCTACAAAAAAAAGACTCTTGTCTCAAACCCCTTCTTCAAATAAGAAAAAGCATTATTACATAGAAAAATGTCTCTGAAAAAAATCAGTAAGAACTTATACTCCTAAAATACTTCTGAAGAACTGGGCACTCAGGAGGCAGAAGCAGATGGATCTCTATGAATTCAAGGCCAGCCTGGTCTACATTCAAGTTCCAGGACAGCCAGAGCTACATAATAGAGAGAGCCTGTCTCAAAGAACAAAACAAATACAGTTACTAAGAAAGCTAGTAAATATACCAGGGAAAGGCAAGGCTACACTGCCCCAGTGACGACCAAGTCCCACCCATCTATTTTCCCCTAATGAATTTTAAGGAATATATATAAAGTTTTATTTAATCCTTATGATCATCTTCTAATAAAATAATATGTTCTGAGGCTGGTTACCCCAGGAACAGCTATAATCCCAGATAGAGGCAGAAAGACCAGAAATGTAAGGGCATCCTTGACTATATAGATTTAGAGGCCAGCCTGGACTACATGAGACCCTTTCTCAAAACAAAAAAAGTTTCTGGCTAGAAGGTCTGAGTGCTTTAATTTTATTTTAGTGGGAAAATGAATTCCTTAGATGTAATTTGAAGGGTCAAATCTTCAAAGAATGATATCCATGAGGGGAAATGGAGGCATCTTTTTCTATACCATTGAGTGGTTAAAACTAGAGAGGCAGGAAGCTCAGCTATAGCTCAGCCCTGTGAAGGAATTCTCTGTGCTGTGATCACATGAGGCAGGCTCAGTCCCCTAGAGTTTCATGTTCTGGAGGAAGAGCCAACTATTTTTATACAAGGACCAGAGTGCTTTAGTTTTATGTTAGTCTTAGCTGTGCTGGTGGGAAGCAAGGAAAGGGCTTATCTCCAGCTTCCACTAAAGCTTTATCACTAAATGGAATACTCTTAGTGTTATAGGTCCAGGGTCACACAAGTTAGAGAAGTCCAAGAACAGAGCTCCAGGCTAGAGTCTCCACCTTACTGCACGCCCCCCTTTCAGTTAGTACCTTGTCGGAATCTGAACTTGAGTTGAAAGATCTTGAGTTGATATTGAAAACAGAATCTAAGCCTGGTCTACAGAGAGAGATCCAGGCCAGCCAGGGCATAATAATAATAGTAATAATAATAATAATATAATAATAAGATGATGATGATAATAATAATAAATAATCATCATCATCCCTTCTAAACTGCAGTGTTCTAACAAGCAGAAGAAAGTTATGAAGCAGCTATGTTACCTGTGAAGGCCAGTAGTCCAATTTTCTGGGCAGCCAGAGCTCTTTTTTCAAGGGATAGAGCTGTATTCTTCAGCGTGTGGCCAAGTTCCGTAATTTTTTCTCTGTGAAAAATGCAGTCAGCTGCGGAGATGGGCTGCTCTTCCTCCTTGATCTTTGCAAACCATCCCTTAACAGTATTCCAGAACCTCCTGAAGCACTTACATAGCTTCCTGAAGGACCGACGGGTCTGGTTGCGAATCCATCTACAATCAGTACAAAAAGACCTGATCCTCAACTTCCTATAGAAGGCCATTGGTGCTCGTGTGCACAGGCGGGCCTGGAGTTCACCGCAGCGCGGGAGCGCACTGCCTGGCAACAAGATAGAACGGAACCTAGGGCGCTGCCCCGCAACACGGTAGAACCAGAACGCAGGAACCAGAACCAATAAATGCTGAGGTTCCTGGGCCTAGCATTCAAGGCCCTTTCGGACTAGAACAAAAACAAGTTGCGCTTGTGGGGGCACAAACCGTCAAGGTAAGCGGTTTCCCCGAACAATAGCTCACGCCTGTCTTTGCTCCTTGTCTTGTGCTGGGCTCACTGGGACTCTTGGACTACCACCCTAGCCGCTAAGTGGCTTCTCCTGGAACTTGCATCAGTTATCTCCAGGCTGTGGTATTTGTTTTTCTTTACATTATAGACTTACCCTGTTTGGGTAACAAAGCTGAAGCTAGCAAGAGAACCGTCTGTCACCCCAAATCGTAGCTACCCATCTGTCTGTGCCCATGTATTCTCTTATGCCTGTGGGTGTCCTGTTTGTGGACATTTCAACTAACTTCTCCTAATCCTCTAAAAGATACCACTCTTCAATTCTTCCCCCGTCCTAGTACATTTTCCAAGGCAACTGGATCTTAGCACACAAGCACCTGGGCTTCATTAAATAACAAGCACACAGTCCGTACACCTTTAATCCCAGCACTTGGAAGGCAAAGGCAGGAGGATCTCTGAGTTCGAGGCCAGCCTGGTCTACAGAGCTGGTTCCAGGACAGCTAGGGCTGTTACACAGAGAAACCCTGTCTCAACACCCCCCCCCAAAAAAAAAACCCCAAACCAACCAACCAACCAACCAACCAAACAAACAAACAAACAAAAAACCAAGCAAACAAAAATCTCTCAGCTAAATGTGGCATATACCTATCATTTGAGCATTTGGAAGGCTGGAGGCTTTTGAATTTGAAGCTAACCTGGGCTATATAGCAAGACCTGTCCTAAAAAAACCAAAACAAATAACTCTTGATTCTATGTACTCCATCTTTCCTCTGTATAGGCCAGCTAAGTCGATACCCTGGCTTTAAATGACTTCTGCATCCTGAACACACTCAATTTTATATGCTTGGGTTGTTTTCAGACAGGTTGTTGCCCTTTTGCCTAGAATCACCTTAACTCCTGAGCTCAAGTGATTCGCCAGTGTCAGGCTCCCACAAGTGCACGCCGCTGCATCAAGATCATGCAAGGACATACTCCCTCACCCCTAGTACACACACACACACACACACACACACACACACACACACACACACGCACATATTTTGAGACAAGGTCTCATATAGTTCAGTCTGTCTCATTCACTGTCTTTGCAATATATATTTCAAAGACTTAGTTTTCTTTTACTTACCTGTATGTGTGTAGGTGTGGGGTGAGGGTTATATACATGTGTGTGCAGGTGCCTGTAGAGGCCAGAGTCATTGGATCCCAGAGGTACTGGGCCAGAGGATGATGTTGGGACTCTTCAGTCAATCCCCATCTAATTATTTATTTATTTATTTTGTTTTTTTGAGACAGGGTTTCTCTGTGTAGCTTTGTGCCTTTCCTGGAACTCACTTGGTAGCCCAGGCTGGCCTCGAACTCACAGAGATCCGCCTGGCTCTGCCTCCCAGTGCTGGGATTAAAGGCGTTGAGCCACCACCGCCCAGCTCCCATCTAATTTTTTAAAGATGGATTTGTTTTATGTGCATAACTGTTTTGCCAGTATGTATGTCTGTACACCATGGGTGTGCCTGGTGCCCTTGGAAGTCAGAAGAGGGCATTGGATTCTCTGGAGTTACGGATGATTGTGAGCTGCCATGTGGGTTCTATGAATTGAATCCAGGTCCTCTGTAAGAACAAGGAGTGCTCTTAACCACTGAGCTGTCTCTCCAGCCCCTAAAGATTGTGTTTTGTTTGTTTGTTTTAAAACTCTGCAGGCATTCACAGGAGCATGCACATAAATTCTACCCCACACCCACACACATACACATAATTAAAAGTTAACTAAGTCTTTGAAGTATATACTGCCAAAATAGTGACTTTGAAGCAGATTGAGCTATATGAGACATTGTCTTAAAAAAAAAACCAAAAAAACCCCAAAAAACCAGCTGGGTGGCGGCGGCAGCGGTGGAGCACGCCTTTAATCCTAGCACTTGGGAGGCAGAGGCAGGCGGATCTCTGTGAGTTCGAGGCCAGCCTGGGCTACCAAGTGAGTTCCAGGAAAGGCACCAAACTACATGAAGAAACCCTGTCTCAGAAAACAAAAACAAAACAACAAACCCAAACAAACAAACAACAACACAAAACCCCACGAAACAAAACAACCACAAACCCATTCTTCATCTGTTGATGGGGGTAGGTGGCTGTGGGTTACAAGGGTATGTCCTTGTGTAATTGATCCTGACACAGTAAGGTGTGTGCAGTGTGGTGTGTGCAGTGCGGTGGATATGTGTTTGGGTGTGTGCATGTGTGTGTGTCCACATAGGAGTATAAGTGCTTTTGAAGGCTAAAAGAGGACACTGGATTCCCCTGGACCTAGAATTTACAGGTGATTGTGAGCTGCTTGACTTGGGTGCTGGGAACCGACTGGGGTCCTCTGGAAGCCCGTATGTTCTCTTAACTACTGAGTCATCTCTACAGCTCAACCCCTTGAGACCTTGATTTTACTGTCTCAGTGCACCAAGTACTGTGATTATGCTCTGGTGCTCAGTCTTGTGTGTGTGTGTGTGTGTGTGTGTGTGTGTGTGTGTGTGTGTGTGTGTGTATAGTTTACTTGTTATAGTTGTATAGTTTACTGTTAGCTCTACTTGCTAAGTAGAGCAGGCAGGCCTTGAACACATAGAGATCTGCTTGTCCACTTGCCTTAGCCTCCCTCAATTTTACATTTTTAATAGGACTTCTCACTTGAATTCCAGACTCATATTAAATCACCAACTTGATCTTTGGATATAAACTTTATCATGTCTAAAATAGTTCCTGGGTTTCCTCCTTGCTGTAGGGTTTTCTGTCAATATTTCATTGTTGTTCAGCCTAAAATATTTGAACTCATCCTTGCCTGTTTACTATTCTATTTCCAACTTCCTAACAAATTTTCTTGATTCTATTTTCAAAACATATCCCATACATCAGAAAAATCCCTCACTGTGTACTTCAGTTATATGAACTTGTAAAAGTAAGGATGTAAAGAGCACAGAAAATTCAAAACAAAACATGGTACTTTTTCAAGGCCTTGTATTTCTTACCTCTGGAATATCCCCCCCCCACCAATGCTGTTTATTGAAGAGGGGAGGAGGTCTTAAATACAGGCTTACAGCATAATGGGAGAACCCCAGAGGACAGAAGTTCGCTACCGATGTTTTATAATATTACATCTAAGCTATTAACGCCCATTATGCAGGATACACAGACAAGGAACTTCCCTTAAGCATTCAGGAGGGTGGGACCCAGCAGGGAATTAGCATAGGGAAAATATCAAGGTCAAGGTCAGCAAGCAAAGCAACAGTTACCCAAAACGGGGGCCAGGGACCTACAGGTCCCCCTTGTACTAGAAAATGAGCTTCTGACTTAGGTTGCATGGGACATCAGCAGGTCACTTTACCCGTCATGGAGACGCCTGCCCAGGCCACACAGGCGCTCTGTTTTAGGTTGGTGAGTGCCCCCCAGGTATTACCTGTCTCTGAATACTCATTATCATACAGGCTCAATCTTGTGTGAGCTGCAGAGTTAACTGCTGCCAAAGATCTCAAAGTGGCACTGGGCTTGCAATCTGTATGTTCAACACAGAAAAGACCAACAGAAGTCCTAACTCACCCATAGCCAGTAGGCTAAAGGCAACTGAGCCGCTCCCTTCCTTAACGAGCCTTACTGCAAACTGGACTCCTTGTAAGATGGTATCCCAAAAGCAAATGGAACTTGAGTTTATAAATTTATAATTTTCAAAGCCAATCAAAATGTATATAACTATTGAATTAAATTTATCATGCCCAATAGAATGAAAAATTAACTAACTGTGGTAGCTACTTTTGCTGCCAGGGTCTCCACTGTGCTAGCTGTAGTAAGCAATTATGAAATGGTAATCCCAGAAACAGTAGCAGCGGTGGCTGCCACTGCTATAACAGCAACAACGGCAGCAGCAATGTCAAATTCTCTTCTGGAGCATGTGAGCATCCACTGGCATGGATACAACTCCAGGAACACGAACTGCCAAGGCCCATTTTTCTTGATCCCAGCACAACTTAAGCTGGTAACTCTTCTGTAGAATCTAACTGCATGGCTACAGTTCCTAGGCTTATGTTAATGCTTGCCAAGGCTGGCCATATTGGGCTCTCAATCCCCATTGGCATCAGAAGGGGAGAGTTTTTCACGAAGGCCCAGTAGGTCTCTGCCATGTTGGGCTTCAGCAGCAGCCACAGGACGCACACAGAACTCAGGAATCCAAAGAGGAACCTCATTGTCCTGAGGAAAGACATAAACAGAACCCCGGGCCCACACCAGTACCAGATCGGGTGTCCTCCAAGTGCCAGTAGAAAGATCCTTCCATCGCTCCAGAGGGTGATTTTCAACAGGAGCCCTCCAGTGCTTATCTGCAGCAGATACTCCAGCAGAATCCACTGGTAAAAAATTTAAAATATATAAAACAAGGGAAAGAATAGAATGTGGAGAGGAATGATGAGTCCCTAGTTCCCCCTTTTTACTTTAGCATAATATGTTTTTTAATAGTTCAAATTTTTCTTTTCTTTTTTTAAATTAATTAATTATTTTTTTTCTTTTATCAGCTTGATTCAGTATAAATTCTTATCTTAATAGTGAAATGTTTCATTGAGGCTTGCTCAGTAACTGAGTAAAAGCAAAACTTATTATAAGCCATAGTCATCCTAGGGTCCCCTATGCTATATATATAGCCTCCATGGTTCTGTGGGTTGCAGTCTGATTGTTCTTTGCTTTATATCTAGAATCCACTTATGAGTGAGTACATTACCATGTTTGTCCTTCTGGGTTTGGGTTACCTCA